GGGCCAGCAGCAACAAACTCATGGGCCCCACGACACCCGCCATACCAGAGCAGATCCAGGAAAGGGCACAGTGGTCCGAGCCCCCAGGGCGCACCCCCTCCAGGCCAAAGCCCGACAGGGCCAGAGGCTCCGAGCCCCAGCAGGCAGTCACCAGGCCAGGCCGGCACACACCCCAGCGCCCAGCCCCAGACCCCGGGAACCCCCAGCACGCYGGCGGCCAGCCGCACACCCCATCGGGGGGCCGAGTAGCAGCGGTAGGCAGTAGGGGCAGCCCAGACCGCAGCCTGACAAATACCCAAACATACGCAATCGCACCATCCCACCCTCATCCTCACCCCCACTCAATCAAAGACATACAAGGACGCCACATTCCACTCATACTCCCGATGCACACTCTATACCCCCCAGGTCCAGGACATGCACCCACCCCCTGTTGGAGGCAGCACACACCTGAACCCAGGAGGTAGACCCAATCATTCTGAGGTGGAGAGGAGCAGATAGCCAAGGCCCGGCCCGGGCCGCACCAGGACGCCCGGCCAGCCCCCTGCCGTAGAGAAGCCACACCCATGACCACCCCACCACACCGCCAACAACCAAGTGCACCCCCACCCCAGCTCTACTGATCCTAATTCACTAGAGGAAATTAAAAGTGCACATCAAGTAAAAGCTTAGGATTTAGGTAGATAAAACTGTCTGGCCAAGTGGGGGGCATTGARAGGGGCACCATTTTTTAGGACCCACCTGCCGGTGGTGCCCCTGTTCCATATTTTCTTAGAGAGCTGAAGGATGGAGGCACTGATAAAGTAAAAGGATACTTGGATACCTTATTGATAGTATCACAGCATCAATAAAGAGAACAATACAGTTGGTAGACATATCAATAAAAAAATCAATATGTTCATCAACATAAAGAGTCTTGGTTGAATGATAGACCAGTACACATCATATGACCAGAAATGCTGCCTAACAACACACAGAGAGAGGGTCAAGAGTTCAGATTATTTCTCAGGATTATCCAGCATCTGCTGCCCCCATGAGGCGTTCAATGTCAAAATCAGCGAGAGGTTCACAACCAAAACGTCAACATTTAAATGTTGTTCTAGATTCATGTAACGATCATTTACTGATAGATAAGCGGCATACCTTAGCTAATATATATTATATTTCATCTGCAATTCGCAGATTTGGTTTCACCTTCCTCGTCTGAAGCTGATGACGTCAGCTTCATGATTAAAGCGATTGTTTTTGTTTTTGTTTTTTTTGTCTTTATTGCTGAATTTTTGCAAACACGTCAGATTCAGGTTGTTAAACTATAATGCAGCAGCTAGCTCCTTAAATGACGCAGAAATAAGGGTTTGTAAAAGGTTTGTAAACATCATGGCGCTTTACATGGACGTGTGCTTAGAGCAGGTGACGTCAGGTGACGTTCAGGGTCAAAAACAAAGCTCAACCTTTTGATATGTGTCAGAAATAAGGATTAAAACAGATGATAAATGTTCTGCATAGAGACATAAAAAGAAACGGGGATGCCGCTTCACACCGTCTGGTCCCATGGTGTAATGGTTAGCACTCTGGACTTTGAATCCAGCGATCCGAGTTCAAATCTCGGTGGGACCTCGTCCTTTTGAAATGGGCCTTGATTTGACACGTCAAATTATTAAGCACATCAGTCCTAATTCACACTGTTAGCCTGCCAAATATACATAACCACTTTACTTTATCATTGCTAATGGTTTTAATGACACCAAACAAAGTTGTGTCATTTAAAATAAATTAAAAGGTGGCTGACTCAGGTGTGCTCAAAGCCTTTAATGACAAAACATCATAAGGTAAGTTCAGACACAAAGACACCATGGAGTGTTAAAATCTTTTATTTTCACATAAAATATAAACATCAGCATGTTAATAATCAACATTTTTTTTCTGGAATGCTTTTTAAACCGGCTCACAAATATGCCCATAACGTCTGCAGTTTTGGATTCAGCGAACTGATAATCTACTTCACAGAGAGGTCACATTCCCAGCTGTTTTCCTACCACAGCTGTCTGGTATTGATGACACGCCTGTGTTTTCTGCTGTATCTGTGCTGTTTGTGGGTGCACCTTAAAACGACAAACTACTTTTTTTTTAAAGTGTAACATGAAAACAGTACATACAGCAACAGTTGATAAAAAAAACTGTAATAATTCATACCTTTTTAAAGTGGCACTACACTATGGAAGCCCATTTCCGCCACCTTGATAAAAAAAATAAATAAAACTTGTATCTCATAATTATGACTTAGCTATCTCATTATGAGATAGCTAAGTCATAATTATGAGATAGTATCTCATAATAATGAGATAGCTAAGTCATAATTATGAGATACAAGTTTTGTTTTTTCATCAGGGTGGCAGAAATGGGCTTCCATACTAAACTGATATTGTTTTTGCATCTGGAAAAACGTTTCAGAGTAAAACAAATAGTAAACATCCACTCTAGGGATGACAATGAGAGCAACAAAAATGTCACAAACGCTTTTCCGTGTCGATTAAAAGGAGTTTTATGTGATAGATTAAAATTCTTACAACTCATTTACAAACGTGGCACATTCTTGTTTGCACAAAAAAACTGCAGTTTGAACACAAATAAATGTGTTCATTTATTTGTATTTTTTTTCCTGTTTTAAAGCTTCAAATCTGATAAATATTTCCTGATGTGTTACGTAAAAAATAAATGTAATTAGACAATTTTTATAGACTTCTGGGCATTAAATATGTACTTTTCTCACCAGGTTGTTCACAACGTGGAAGTAGAAATTATTCATTAAAAAATCCTAAAAATGCAAAGTGTTTATGAAAACGCTGTTTGTTGTGATAAAATCCCCTGAGTTTCTGTGATTTTATAGAGGAGGATCCATTAATCGATTCTGCGCCTTGACGGTCAAACTACATTGTTTTGTTGATCAATTTTTAATCTGTAATCTTGCTGTAATGAAGAAATCTGGATTAAAATGTACATACTGTTTCCTTCTCTGTGTAGCAAAGCATATTCTGCTTTTCAAAGCTTTTTATTTAAATAATGTAACTAAACTTGAAATCGCATTTGTAGCTGATGACATTCATTAGTCACAGTGGTACGGTTAAAGCATTCAAAGGTTCCATTAAGGCAACAAATTGTACAAACAAACACTTTTGTTTATCAAAAAAAGTAAAATCTGGCATTTTCACATTTCAAATCTGCAAAAAAAAAGTATAAAAGTAGCTTAAAAACACAAAATAAAACATAAATTCATCTAATTACAGAAGTGGCACAAATTACAACACTAACAAAATATTCTGTTCTAATAAGTCATAAAACTGTTGCTGTCTGTGGTAAAATGTGTACATGTGAATGAATATACAATATATATATACATATATATATAGTTGTGAAACAATGCACGCTTCATTGTTTTTCATAAATCTGCTCATTTATTGAAACTTTAATTGCRAGGACAATGATTTGATTTTAGGGTTTGGTGTTGCCACCGAATAAATAATTGATTTTGAGCAAAAAATTTAATGAAGTGTTTTTCCATCTTTTTGGACAGAAAGCGGAGGTGCGGCAACCATTAAGCTTAACGAGAACGCTCGCAGCTGCCGTACAAGGCAGGCTGAGGCAGGCAACAAAATAATGTGCGCGGCCAAGAATGCAGTTTTTCAAGCTTCTTTCGTAAAACATTGGCTGCACAGCTTGCAGTCTTAAGACTGCAGCTAAAAAAATGTGTTTTCTAAGTTAGCATAGAAAGAACCAATAAAATGATTATCATTTCCTTTAAAAAAAAACAAACTGGGAAAATAAATTTAATTGGAGTCAAGTTTCTTCCTTTTGGGAGTTTCTTATATTTTTAGAGCATTTAATTTGAGATATTTTAGGACTTCACTTGGGAACTTAAACTTTGACTGATTTTACACAACTGATTTTTTGTTAAATACTCTTCGGATTGCTGTAACAGTTAAATTAGGTTTTAAACTTAAAGCTGAGGTCAGGGATAAGGAGCTACAGAACGATGTGTTYATACGAGGATGGATGTTTGTGTGAGTAATTGTGCTAAATATCCATTCAGAAGTCGGTGGTCTCCATCATATTAGAAAAGTCCCCCTGCCCGTTGGTGCACGTCTTGCTGGTATTTTCTCGCCCGTTGGTTTTGTGCTGCATCACGGCCRTGAGGTGACTGGTTTCTTTCTGCTGAAGAGGCGAGGAGGAGGCGGGATGCTCCAAGGTGACGGCGGCGCGGCTGGATTCCACGATGGACGAGTTGGTGTGACAGCTGAAGTGGTTGTTGGCGACCGGCGGGTCTCCCCAGCCGGTTTTACCCCAGGCGGTCTTCCACTGAGCCCACTTCCTCTGCAGTGCTGTTTGGGCCTGAAAATCATCAAGGAGGGCATTTTAARCTACCGTWTTTWTTCATGTATAATACAATCTCATGTACAATACGACCCCCACTCTTYTTTTTGAGCTTGAAAAGCATAAAAAATTTAATCCTCAAACTACCTCCAGTTTCATACAGACCAAGATTTTTCAGCCTTTGCAGTCTTTATACATATCAGTAAAATGATCAKTGGACTGTTCATTTTATTTTAACAACATATGTACTAAAAGGTATTTTGGCAACAAATATATATCAGCTGTAGTATCATCATATGAATTCTGGCATTTTACGCATAGTCCACCAGGAGGCGCCAACACAAAAGTCAGAGACTTCACATGAGATTTGGGCCATCTTGTGGGGGAAAAGCAGATTACTTCCTATTCGTGAGCGCCCCCTCTGGTGGGGAAATTTTTTTCAGGGATACAAACTTTTTCAGAACACTGGTAGACGGCAGCCATTACAGACGAACATGTGTTTGTTGTTGTTCGAGGAGCGGCTCGGTCACACACTAATGTCATTAGTTCGCTATCATTACTGAGCTGCAGGACTGCTTTTTCCCCCCTTTTTTCATCATGTTGCCTGCCTGGATCTGTTACTATCTCGCTCTGAAGCACGGAGGAGTGTCACTGGTAAGCTCGTTTCAACTGCTTTTTACGAAGCGGTCTCATTTCCGGACTCAATAATTTTGTGCATGAAGCCGATTGTTCAGTTAAAAT